TAAAAAAAAAAATTTATTTAAAAAAAGAAATAGTGCCTGTGTTTTTCCTTTCGGTTTTCTAACTCCATGTATTTCATTATACTGTGTGTATTTTGTCATATCAAGCTGCCTTTTGAAATTGTCTATTCTACTCTCTTATTTCAGAATTTCTTTCTCCTTTAGCCTCCTTCATTCTGGAGCAAGTTTCCGTGTCTCTTTTGACCTCCATTTTGGATTCTCCTGCCTTTTTAATAAAATGTTTATTTAATCCTTCAGCTCCTCTAATCTGTTCTCCTTTTCCATTTTGTTTTGGGGAAGTACATTTGTTTTTGGATAATCCATCCTATTGTATGATTATTCCATCATTGCTCTATCCTCATGTTCACTTTGAAAAGACTGGGAATTCCAGAGTCCCGAGGCAATCTGAACCCAACCTGACTGCAATTCCCTTCACTCTAACCTTCCACAAAGGTACTGCCTGTGAACTAGAAGTGAGACTGTGAAAATGTCTCGCTTTGCTGAACTGCATTTTTACCACGGTTTCTATCTTCTTCCCAGAATGAAGCATCTCACCTTCTTAGCTTTGTCATCATTTTAGCTCCAAAGATACAAGTGAAGTGTAGCTGATTAAATGATGTATGATATTATGGTTTCATTTCTCCTGAGCCTATTTAGAATATTTTGCATTGTTTCTTCTTAACCAATTTAGAAAATATTTACCAAAAATACAAATCAAATATAACAGTATCTATGATGAGTAAGAAGAATGTACAGTTTACAAAAGTTCTTCACATTCACATATTTGTCACAGTGGAGTTGAGGTCTTGAACACTGAGTTCAAGCATCAAAAGGTCTCTAACTCAGGTTTCTAATATCTTTACTACACTACACTACTATTCCTTTATTCAAATTTTGCTGCTATCTTCCATTTATTACTTTGTTACAGGTAATTTTTTATTATGTTAATCATTGCTATTGCAAATAACTATTATTTTAGGGACATATTTAACATGTAAATGTTTAAGAAAACACTTGATGTGTGTGTGTGTGTGTGTGTGTGTGTGTGTGTGTGGCTGGATCCTCTGTTCTTGTTGTTAAGTGCCATCGAGTCTCAGGCGACTCATAGCGACCCTATGAAAGAGAGTCCTCTACACTTGGGTGCCTTTCATCCTCTCTCCAGGTTCATAGGGTTTCTGGAGGCAAGCTATTATGGAAGTGGATGCCACTCCTCCTTAGAATGAGTCCTCTAGAGAAGCAAAATTAATTTGAAAAGGGGAACAGGCCAGTCTTTGGAAGACGATAACATGTTGTGAATGAGATGGATAGATACAGTGATTGTGGCAGTGGGCTGGATCACGTCAGACATCATTAGGATGGTTCAGGGTCAGGCAACATTCAGATCTAGTTCATAGAGTTGCAGTGAGTCATAGTTGATGCTACGGCACATAACAACATCTATACATACGTATACAGAGATAATTACTATGCAGTGACTCTACAAAGCCTCTGTGTACCCTTGAATCCAGAAACTTCTAGAAGTTTATCCTAAATCAGTAGCCTGTATTCAGAGCTTAATGTGTAAAGATATTTATCACACTAATAGAGGGGGGGCTCTGTTCAGACACTGTGAGTTGTGCAAACCCAAATCTACCAGCATCTCCAAGAGAGAAAGGCAGGGTTCCTTCACCCACCCACGTCCACCACCACACACACACCCCCGCCCCTACCAAGTGCGACTTACGTCCTCGAAAATCTGCAGGAAGGTCAGGTATGAGTCAGTTCCAACTCACCAGCAATGAATCAAGTTGTTAAAAATATTATATAGTACTGGTAACTTTCTATGAAACTATTACATGTTGTAAAATATTTTCAAGTGGTCTGGTGTTTGTGTTGTTTCTAACAAGTGTTCTATCTCTATACCTTTATCCTTTATCAGGCATTTGCCTGGTGGCCCGATTTACTGGCTGAGCACGCGGAGAAATTTTGGTCTCTGTTCACCGTGGATATGAACACCGCACTGGAGGCTCAACCACAAGACTCCTGGGATAGTTTTCCTCTTTTCCAACTGCTTAATAATTTCCTCAGAAATGACAGTAAGCATTTTTGCTTTCTATACTGTACGCAATCGAGAGAGGAGAGTAAATGTGAATTTGTGTGAATTTCTATTAACAGAGCAGTTCAGATATACTGGCTGTTCCTCAGAAGATCTACGATCTCTTGTGTGGTTTACAGCCTCTGAAAAGCCACTAGAGGGTCAGCTGTGAGTCACTTCCTACCCTGACAGTGATAAGAGAGAGATATCACTGGCCTAGAAGCACTGTGGCACAGGGGTGAGATGCTTGACTGCTAGCTGAAAACATCATTGGTTCAAACCCACAAGCATCGCTGGGAGGACAGGATGCTGCCTGCTTCTATAACAGTTTACAGCCTTGGCAACCCCATGTCCTTAGATCACTGAGTTAGAATCTACTTGGTTGTAGTTGGGTTTGTTTGGGATTTGTTTATTTGTTTATCACTGGCCCCAAAAGAGCCTCCATGTGCCTTGAGCTCTTGGATCCCCTCACAGAGACAATCTGTCTGGTAACATTAGCACTTACCCACCCACACAGGTTATGACAGACCAGAGGTGAAGGGAGCCCAGACCAGTGTGGGGGAAACCAGAATCACAGTCACATTGCTCCATTACCTTCTACACTTCCTCCTTTTCCTACCCTGAGCTTCATTGAACACTGGTGATATAGACATCTTTATCACTTGTAGCTCATCCATGGTAATCAGAATATCTTCACATATTGACATCTCTGAAGTACTTGGTATGTTGTACTTGGTATGTTGTTGTTGTTGTTGTTGTTATGTGCCGTCGAGTTGTTTGCGACTCATAGCGACCCTGTGTACAACAGCCCTAAACCCTGCTCTATTTGTGCCAATTGCACTGTCTCTGACACACCCATCCCGATTACCCCAGTCACTGAATCAATCCACCTCATAGAGGGTCTTCCCCTCCTGCGCTGTCCCTCTTCTCTACCCAGCATGATGTCCCTCTCGAAAGACCTGTCTCTCCTTGTAACATATCCAAAGTATAGTGACTCTTTATTCCCTCCATCATCTCTTAATGCTTGATGGATCATTCAAGATTTTGCCCCTGGTGTCTTTCAGTATGGCAAATTGGAGCTTGAATTTGTGTTCCAGTTCTTTCACCTTGAGAAATGCCAAGCAAGTTTTTCCCTTTTTATTCTCCAGTTCCAACTCTCTGCATATTCCATTGGAATGCTTTGATTTTTCTTCTCAGACTGCCCTTTAAAATCGTCTGTTCAGCTCTTTTACTTCGCTAAGTTTTCTCTTTCTTTGGGCTTCTCGATGTCTAGAGCAATTTTCAGAGTCCCTTCCGACATCTATTTTGGTTTTTTCTTTCTCCTCTGCCTTTGTAGTGACCTTTTTGTTCTCTTCATGGATGACAAATAACCATGATATCATCCCACAATTCATCTGGTCGTCAATCACTGATGTTCAAAGCCTCAAATCTATCCTTAAGGTAATTTTCAAACATGAAGTCATATTTTGGTTCTTGTAGACTTATTTTCAATTCCTTCAGCCTCAGTTTGAACTTGACCATGGTGGTCTTTTCCACAGTGAGCACCTGGTCTGCTTGTGACTGATTATGACTGATGATATTGAGGTTTTCCAACAATTCCTTCCACAGACACAGTCTGATTCTTGTGCAACCTAGCAGGTGAAGTCCATGTGTGAAGTCACCATTTGTTTTGGATTTTTGGTGGTGGTGGTTGTTGTTGATTGCCTTCGAGTCAATCATGACTCATAGCGACCTTACAGACAAAAGACCTGAAGCCTTTCTATAACTATCGACATTTATCAAAGTCCGTAGAGTTTCCTGAGGCATGTTATTGAGGAAGTGGATGCCACTCCTGCTTCCAAACCTGTCTTAAACTGGGAGCTCCACCAAACACTGTCCACCATGGGCAACCATTATGGCATTTGACACCCCAATGGCGCAAGGTTCAGCATCAAAGCAACCCCAGGTTACCTCAGTACAGCCTATTGACAGGAGTGCTGTACTACTTAGAAAAGTGTTCCTCAAAAATATAATAATAACTTTAAATACAAAGGCCCTCCCTGAGGTCTTATTGACTCTAAATAAGAGGCTTAAATTAAAAAACACACACACACACAAAAATATATATATATATTGTAATGTTGTTTGTTGTTCTGTGCCATTGAGTCACCTGCAGTGCCTAGTGATCCTATGTACAGTAGCTCTGAACCCTTCCCTGTCTTGAGTTAGTCTCACTAATTCTGACACACCAACCCCCATCGCCCCAGATACTGTATCAATCCACCGAATCTGGGTATCAATCCATCTAATCTGGGGTCTTCCTCACCTGCGGTGTCTGTTCACCCTTCTGAGCATGATGTCCTTCTCCAAGGACCAGTCTTTCCTGGCGACATGCCCAAAGTGAGGCAGAGCTTCAAAATCTTAGCCTCCAAGGAGAGACTTGGTTTTACCCTCTCCAAGACGGATCAATTTATTTTCTTGGCAGTCCATGGTATGTTCAAGACTCTTCTGCAGCACCACAACTCAAAGACATCTATTCTTCTTCTCTCATCCTTAGTCATTGTCCAGCTCTCTGAAGCATAGCAAGTAATTGAGAGGACCATGGCCTGGATTAGCCGTACGTTTGTCTCTAGACTGACATTGTTGCTCTTCAGAACCAACCCATAAGTGACACTCCAGTGGATTTTCAGAGGCAATTAATCTCATGAGAGGAGACTGGCTATCTTTCTCCCATGGAGCAGCTGGTCAAACCTCGTGCTTTGAGGATTTTCAGTGCAGCTATTTGCCACTAGGCCACTAGAACTCCTTAATAGCATGTTGTTGTTTCCTGTTGAGTTGAGCATGACTCATAATGTCCCTATAAAGACCTGAAGCCTTTCTATAACTATCGTCATTTATCAAAGTTCATAGTAACATTATAGTAATATATTTGCCACGAGAGCTTTATTTCTACATATGATAGTGAAAAAAAATTACAGAATGTCTTGCTCATTCAGGATTTAACTGTTGAAATTATTAAGACTTTTCCCCCAACACAATTATATTTTTAAAACTGTCTGATGTACTGGCTGTTTGAACACCTAATGTTCAAACAGCCAGTACATCAGAATTATTGGTGATATTTCTTAACACAGAGATTCCTGACCTTTTCTATGATCATTCTTTAAGTTCCCACTTAGACAAACATTGGGTAAACACCAATAGCCTTTGCAATAATGGGGAAGTCACTAATTCTCAAGGTGGTAAAATTCTTCCCATCATAGACCAAAGGGAACTCCATCACTTCTAAACCTAGTGTGTCAAATTCTTTTTGACCAATACCTCAAACTGGACAGAAAACAACCTTCTTTTGTCGTATGTTTTCTTCTCCAACTCATATTCTCACATCTTTCAACCCTTGCTCTGGTGGTAGAGCTTCCTACCATTAGCTTTCTTCATACTTCTGTGGCAAGATTTCCCTCCATTTCTCTAGATTCCTGTGTGGCTAGTTAATGCTGGATCACCCCTTGGAGATGAAGAGGACATAAATGCACTGTCATGGGGTTTATTCTGACTCATAGTGACCCTCCATTAGGTTTCTGAGGCTGTAAATTTTTACATGTGAGACTACCCATCTTTCTTCTGTGGAGCAGATGGTGACTTCATACCACTGATCTTTGTGTTAGCAGCCACTGCACCCCACCAGCATTCCTTGGAGAGGCTCAGGATGTGATCTGAATATGCAGCACCGAGCTCAGCAAGAGGTGCCCACCCTGGGCCCTTTCTTCCTAAAGCTTTGTTAAATTCCCACTTAGACACACATTGAGTCACCACCAATAACCTTTGCAATGATGATGAAGTCGCTAATTCTCAAGACAGTAAAATTCTTCCCATTGTAGTCCAAAGCGAACTCTGTCTCGTCTTAACCTGGAGTCTCCAGAAAATATTGGTCATACTCTTCATGCACATAAACTTTTGTATAAAAGTTTTCAGAGAAAACTTCAGCTACTTCTGTTGATTTTATTTTATTTTTTTAAATCTCTCTGGTTTTAAATCTAAATCCATGTTGTTTCTTTTTTCACAAAAAAACAAACTACAAAACATTGATTTTTGTTCACCAGTGTTTCTTGTCTGTCTTTGGTTTTTAAATACTCCATTCTGTCCATCATGTCTAGATTTAAAGGTTGGTTTTTCAGTGACTAACAGATTTTAGAAAACAGCAATTATTTTGGAGAAAAACAGCTCCTCTCTATAGCAAAGTAAATAGAAAAGTTCCCTAGTGCCATCATTTCCTTTTGGTATTGAGAGTACTGTGTGGGCTGGGGAATTGAAATAGAATGCAGACTCTTTCGTTCTCAAACACCCAAGTCATTGTCCAAAGCCAAGTTCATTACCTCTATCAGTAGTAGATGAAAAATGATTTTTCCTAGTTATTAATGTCACCCACAATGACAATGAAGAATCTGAATAATATGTTTCTTTTCTTAAATTCCCTAAATAATTAGATGGTAATTGAGTGAATTCACTTCAAATGTTAAACACTGTGGTAGTTCCAAAATGATCATTTTTGGATACTGCAGGGATAAGCATAGAACTTCTGTCGTTTCAGCCTCCCCTATAAGGAAACACCTTTACATCACTGTCAAGAGCCACTGGCCAAATTTTTGACCTATCGATCCAATTATAATTCTAGTCCAGATTCTAATTAATGTTGACTTGAACTAGCCAGAGTAATAGGAACAGAAAGCTGTGATATGTCCAATCTTGGGAAGGGCGAGAATTTATAAAGTATCTTAAGGGTTGAATTATAATGTTTATTTAGGTGGTCCATTCCTAATTTTATCCAAATACTAAATAATTGTCACTGTTGTTTGTTGTTGTTAAGTGCCGTCGAGTCGCAGGCCACTCATGGCAACCCTATGAAGGAGAGTCCTCGATGCTTGGGTGCCTTTCATCCTCTCTCCGGGTTCATAGGGTTTCCGGAGGCAAGCTATTATGGAAGTGGATGCCACTCCTCCTTCCAAGCTTGTTTTAATCAGGGAG